CCAACAACCTTGTCTTTTTCAGTAGCTCGGACGTCTTCCTTGCTATAAAGAAAAAAGAATTAACAGAAAGGTTAATTATCTGTGAGAAAGAATTATCCTGCAGACTCCTGGCAGACAAAGAGCTACACCCAGAGGAGCAGGGTGAAGATGTATCCCTAGTCCTCTCCTGGAGGAGAAAACCACATTTCCCATTCTTGGATCACACAGAGCAGCAGTATCAATACCTCCCACTAGAGAAAAGTGGATCAGATTTAGCAGGGAAGGATAAGGAACTTCACTGCCTTAGGAGAGCTTGAACACAGAACAACACAGAATCCTGAGGGTGGAAAGAGCCTCAGATGTTAAATTATCTAGCTCACGAGAATTGTTTGTCCCTTCTCAAGAACCCATAGGAAAAAAATTTACCATTTCACCCACTACCCTTTTTATTGTTTTACAGTCCTTGGGTTTAAGTGATATTAAATTCAAGAAAGAAAGGTACTTCCTAAAATGCTTTCTACTTTGTTTGATATGAATCATCCTTACAATGCTAATCTCCAGCTTAGCTCAACCCTTTTTGTTTTATTTAAAGCCCTATCTCATTAATATTTTCCTTTTGTCCTAACTCACATGTTTTAACGTTTTCTTTGGCTACTACCTGGGGAGGATCAAAGCACAAAAGAAGAGAGGAATGGGCAGGAATAGAGAATGTAATTGTTCCTAAAAATTCCAGGCTCCCGGGCTTCCCTGGTGGCGCAGTGGTTGAGAATCTGCCTGCCAATGCAGACGGCACGGGTTCAAGCCCTGGTCTGGGAAGATCCCACATGCCATGGAGCAACTGGGCCCGTGAGCCACAATTACTGAGCCTGCGCTCCGCAACAACAGAGGCCGCGATAGTGAGAGGCCTGCGCACCGCGATGAAGAGTGACCCCCACTTGCCACAACTAGAGAAAGCCCATGCACAGAAATGAAGACCCAACACAGCCATAAATAAATAAATAAATAAATACATTGTGTATTATTAAAAAAAAAAAAAAAAAAAAAATTCCAGGCTCCCATTCTATCCTAATCTCATTCCAGGTGCTGAGGCAAATATGAAGACAAAAATACTTCTTACCGGATAGTTCCTCGAAAAGAGTTCTTAAGTGGCGTGGACCCCACATATAGGATGTGTACTTTGGCAAAGCGTGAATTGATGCTAGAGACCTGTGCAATAGAGAAAAGAGCAGCATTAGAGTGAGTATTAGTCGTTGGCAGCTGAAGGAGACGGGAATAAACTAGGATTTTGGTCCAAGCAACCCTACTAAGTATAGAATTTAAGACAAGTTAACTCCTACTTATCCCTGTGTAAGTCATATTCGCAAAGTGGAATAAGAGCCACTCTGGCCACTTAATAGAATTACTGTGGAAATCAAATAATATGGAATAGATTTTGAAAAATATACAAGTCTAACATAAATACACAAGGGTATTTATAGTATATAGCAAACCTAGCTAGACCTTTAACAGATCTTACTATGAGCCCTGTAGCATGAACAGAATTTAAGTCTCCATTTCAGCTGCTGTATAATATTTAGATCACTGCCTCTCCAGTTATTTTCAAAATAACACATACATTCTCTCTCCCTTCCTGTTTTTTTTTAAATTTGGCCACGCTTCGCAGCTTGCAGGATCTTAGCTACCTGACCAGGGATTGAACCCACGCCCTCAGCAGTGAAAGCTCGGAGTCCTAACAACTGGATCGCCAGGGAATCCCCACATAGATTTTCTGCTGGAGAAATTTATAGAGAAAAACTAAGAGCTGCAAGTTAATTTAACTGGCAGAGAGTGGGGATGGGCAGGGAGTACTGATATATTATAGTTACTGACCAGTACCGCATTAATGTGTACTTCCCCTCAAAGACTTTATCAAATCTTTTGTTTCTCTGCAGAAAGAGTTTTGCTTCAGATGTTCAAAAATGGGCCTTCTGGGACTTCCTGGTGGCGCAGTGGTTGAGACTCCGTGCTCCCAGTGCAGGGGGCCTGGGTTCAATCCCTGGTTGGGGAACTAGATCCCACATGCATGCCGCAACTAAGAGTTTGCATGCTACAACTAAGAAGCCCGCATGCTGCAACTAAGGAGCCCGTGAGCCACAAGTAAGGAGCCCGCCTGCCACAACTAAGGAGCTGGTGAGCCACAACTAAAGGAGTCCTCGAGCTGCAACTAAGGAGTCCACATGCTGCAACTAAGGAGCCCACCTGCTGCAACTAAGACCCGGCACAACCAAATAAATAAATACTAAAAAAAAAAAAAAAAAAAGGGCTTCCTTATCACCCTTTGGTGCCCCTGTCTCCCAGACAAAAGTAAAAAATAACAAACTCAGGGAATCAGCTCTGTGAAAGAACTATGCAAGCTTGAACTTGACCTCATTGATCATTATCCTAGAAATCTCTAGACCAGCATAGTCCAGTAAAACTTTCTGTGATGATAGAAATATTTTGTGTTGACCAATATGGCAGCCACCAACCACCTGTGGCTACTGAGCACTTGAAATGTACCTAGTGGAAGTGAGAAAATAAATTTTAAATTTTGTTTAATTTTAATTTATTTAAATTTAAATGGCCATATGTGGCTACTGGTTACCATATTGAACAGTGCAGCTCTACAGTGATCATTATTTCAGCATTGGACAGTATCCTAAGCAGGGAGGTTAGGACCAACTTACCTTACAGGTTACAATAGCTCCCACATCTGGCAGTAACTGGGACTCTGTTTCTCTCATCACAGATATGACAGGAAGCTACAGAGAGAACAATAAAACATGAATATCCTTGCTAAGTCTTGGGTAAAAGTGTCTGTGGCTTGAGAATAATATAGGAATGCCATGGGCCACAGTTGAGGTCACAAGGGCAGGTGGACTACAGATTCATTTGCAGCCCAGAGCAGAAAGCCTTAGACATTTTAGGCTATAGGATGGCCAAGGGGCCACAGGAAGAAAGCTGCTAGAAGACATAATCTAACCATTTCAGACGAGTTCTAAGTTTTCTGGTGATTTTCTTAGAGCTTTTTGGCATACAACTATATTGCCTGTAATCATGGATAATGTGACTCTTTCCTCCAAAGTTATACCTTTCTTTCTGTTTGTCATTTTATTGGACAGGCTAGAATTTCCAAATAAATGTTATATAATAGCATATACAATAGCACCTTGTTAACTATGCCTCAGCTCTCCTGGCCTTTTTTCAGTTTCATGAATTCACTAAATTTCTTCCCATCTCAGGATCTCTATTCAACCTGTTCTTTATGCTCACCCACTCAACTCTTATTTATCCTTTATTCAGGATAAATATAAATATTCAGGTTAAAGATTCAGGTTAAATGTCACTTCTGACTAGGGTGGGTTTGCCTATTACATGTTCTCATGGTACCCCATAATATTCTTTCAGAGCAGGAATCACATTTGCAAGCATACATTCATTTGAGCAGATATATTTGCTTACAGTTTGTGTTTGTGCCCCCTGATAAGAGACCATGTGTATTTGGCTCATTACAACATCCCTAGAGGTCAGCACTGTGCCTGGCACATGAAAATGCTCCATAAATAGCTATATGTATAGCTATGAAATGAACAAACTTTCAAATCCTAAGGAAATTCCCAAATTGATCGAATAAAAAGTCTCTCATTTTATAGATGAGGAAGAACCTAAAACCAGAGGGTTTAAGTTTCTTATCTAAAGCAGAATCAAGGTTTAGTCAATACTGAAGTGTTCTAACTCTGAATCCTCTTTCTACTACGCTCCGTGTCTTTAAGCTGCTCCTTCAAGAACTGTTTATCTGATCCTGAGCTAATCGTGGATCAGCCTCTGGAACCAGGGAGAATAATATTACTCATGCATTCAACAAACATCTACTGAGCATTTATCTTGTGCTAGGCGCGGAGGTTATGGGAGTGAGGCCTGCTTTCACGGAGTCTGTGGGAGAAGGGTCTAATGGGGAACTTATTGATATAACTGAGTGTTTAATTACATGCTGAGCTAAGTGCTTAGAAAGGGAAGAATACAGCTCTTTGTGAGTGTTCAACAAAACAAACAAAAACAAAACTTTTTTCGACTAGTGGCTAGGACAGCTTCTCTGAGAAAGTGATACTAGTGAGGCTATCTGAAGGGTAGGTAAGAACTGAATAGGCTAAGGAAGAGAGGAGCGTGTTCCAGTCGGCGTGTGTACAAAGGCTCTGTGGCGCACTGGCGACACTGAAAGAAGCCAGTAGTACTAGATAGCAGAGAGTGAGGCGCGGGTAGCGGAGCGAGATAAAGCCGGAGAGGTAGGCGGCATTCGGACAGGATTCAGCACACTGCAGGGCTGAGCTAGCCTCCACTCTTCCCCCAACTTGCTTCCCCGAGTGTCAGCAACACAACCAAGCCGGACCAACAAAACTGTTCTGTGATGGCTAAGTGCCCGGCAGCGGGGACCACAGCTGTTACAACTTAAGAGACCAACTTCTTTTACTGAACAAGGCACCGAAGACCCGCCCACAGGTCCCCTGCCTAAGAACTGCGAAATCAAAGACAGCCTAAGAAAAAGGCAGAGACGGAGAAGAGGGGAAGCCGCCCCCTTTACCGCGCCGTTCTCGCTGCTCTTTATCAGGCAGCCAGCAAGCGACGAAAAGATGTAGCCATGCCGGGTGTAGGTGCCGCTGCCGGGGCTGCCCTCTTCCAAGTTACACAGACGTTCGCCTGCGGAAAAAACGCTGCATCAGCCACGGGTCCGCAGAAGCTGTTGGTCGTCGGGCCTTCCTGCCTCCGTCCCTGCCCAGGATTCGCTCTGGGCACCACTGACTTACCGGGGATGCAGTACCTCACGGGTGGCGCCATGACTGCCCCTGTCCCAAGTCCAAAGGAAAATGAAGCCGACCTCTCATTGGCCAACATCCAGGTGCAGTTCCGCAGTAAGAAGCTTTCCAATTGGTGATATTTATCACGTGACCACCGGGAGCGCCTCCTTGAGATGTAAACTCCATTTCCCAGGTTACCCCGAGACGAGACCGGGGGCGGAGCTTCGGCCCGCATGCGCTTTCGCTTGCGCTTGCGCTTGCGGATAAGGATGGGCGGGCGGCGGGTACGGGTCTGGAGGCTGAAGCTGTGGGCTGTGTGCCATGGTTGGTTGGGTTGAGCCAGGCCGGGCCGGGGCGCCGAGCTGGAGGGGGTGGCAGTGAGCGGCGGCGAAGGCTGCAGGGTTCGATTTGGCTGAGTGGGGAGTCGGCCGGTGGCAGGTAAGAGCGAAGCCGCGGCCTTTGTTGCCCGGTCCTTTCCCTTTTTCTAGGGTCAGGCCCTGTTCTGGGGCCTTGTGAGTTCCTGCTCTGCACAGCCTTGCCCTCGAACCGGGCGGAGCTCACCCTCCGGGCAGTCTTAAGGCGCGGAATTGGAAGGTCAGCCCACCCAGCTCGCCCATTTCACAGATTTGGAAACTCAGCCCCAGAGATAGGATTTGACTTGTACAGTGTCTCTAGAGACCAAACCGGTACCCAAGTTATTTTACTTCCTGCCCATCATACTTTGGCCACGCCAGGCTTTTTGAGAAATAAAACCTTTCCCCGGTTTCTGTAACTTCAGTTTTCCGATCTTGCTGTCGGATCCTGTCAAGCGGAGCATGTTAGTCTGGAAGGGAAGTCTGCACATGAATAAAATGCTGCTCTTACTGATGATTGACATCTGCTGCTTGAGGCTGTAAACATCCTGAGAACAGCCTTTGTCCAAATGAGATTTGTCGACCTTCTTCTCAGTTTCCTCTGCCTTCTGGTGGCTTTGGAATCTGTATGTGTACTCCCACTCCTGTGTCCCTCATATACCGTTTCCCCTTGGGAAAGAGATGGTGACTTAGACCCTTGGGAAGAGGGGGATGCTGTGGCCTGCAGTCCCCTCTGATCTGGTGGCAGATGTCACTAAGTGGCTACTACTGAGGGATCAGAGTGCTCAGAGCTTGTGCTGGGGGTGATAGCGAAACTGTGCGTGCTCTATTTCCTGCCCTGTTCACTTCCATCACCACCCCTCGCCCCTACCACACACAATTTTTTGAGCTCTGCTTTACCTCAATTTCCTGAGATGAAATGTTCAGCTGTGGCCCCATGGACTACATATCTCTTCCCTGGCATTCCCATACCCCCAAACCCCACTAAATAAGGGGCGTGGCAGGCTTGGCTTCAGATTTCTTTTACACAAATCTGATCTTTAACTCTGCACCTACAAGCTTTTGGCTTACATGTTTGGGTTGATTTCTGGTTGGACTAGTTTTTAAAAATGACTTCTAGCTCTTAAGTGCTATGGTTCTAACAATGGTTTTCATTTCTCAGTAGACACTTACTTAGTGTTATCATGTTGGCAGGAGTGTCCTTGCTGTTATTTGTAGGACAGATAGACATCTGACCAGCCTTTCCACTTGAGCATCCCTCCAGTTCATTCATTCAACAAGTATTTATTGAGCACTTCCATGATCCAGGTATTGCGCTAAGCACTTGATAAACATTTTGTTTAAACATCTTACCAAGTGTATATATAGAATCATAAAGGGGTAGAGCAGGAAGGGACCTTAGTATTTAATCATACCCTCTCACTGAATGGGAACACAAGAAAATTGAGTGCCAACAGGGTTTGGTGATTTGCCCAAGGTCACAGAACTACTTAAGGGCAGAATTGAACCCTAAGTAGTCGAGTTATGGGGCAGGTAAGAGTTGGTAGGTCTAGTCCTTGAGGCAGAAATTTCCTGTAGAGCTCAATAATTCTGGAAGTGGTTGAGAACAAGCTGAAAAGTGGAGAATCAGAGAAGGGAGATTTTTTTTGTAGACAGGAGAGATGGCATATAATTCATGTTTATTACAGATGAGGAGTGCATCTTATTTGAAAGCTATTGTTATAAAAAGTATTTTAGTAAATAGGAAACTCTCCATTAGCCATAGAAAGGGAATGAACAATATGCGGATGACCTAAGTCACCTGGATTTGCTATGGGGTAAAATGTTTTGTCCCACTCTTACGTTAGATTTTAGCTGTATACTATTTGAAAATTCATGCTTCCAGCCAAATCATGATTCCACACAATAGGAGTCCAACTCAAAGGAGGTAGGAAGAAGTTTGAGCTTTTCCTTTTTCTTTTTTCTACACTGCCCCTTAATTCTCTTATACCCTCGGAGGTGATGGGAATGGCCACTTACTTTATCCTGGTACAGAGAGTAGGTCCCTACTGAATTGTCTGTCTTCTCTTTGCCGGCCTTGTCTGCTGGATTTCTTTTTGCCTTAGGTCTTTAGAGAGCTTGTGGAAGGAGGTAATTAAGTTTTCTTTGAAAGGCCTCTTGTGGGGATGAGCCAGGGTGCAAGGAGAGTACCTTGCTCCAGTTACTGAAATGAAACCACCCCTACAGTGGAGCAGCCTCCTCCAGTTTCTGCTGGGTTTTGAGCTGCCTGTTAAATAAGTCAGTGGAGCTGCTGAGGACAAAGTAGCTGTAGGAGAAAATCAGATAATTTCCTTTCTGGTAAAGCCTTTAATCGCAGAATTGATGAGACTGTCATCGAAGGAATCTGTGTCTTCTGTTCTGGGCATTGCCTGGGCAGCTGACCTCCTGTGGCTATTAGATGAGGTAAAAACCACATGGAGGAGGTGAAGGCACTTACAGAGGAGCCATGCACAGGGCTAAAGAGCTGGGAAGGTTGGTTGGGAAGATTGGGGCCAATGGCAGCAGCCGCAGAGAAAGCTCTCGAGTGTCCAACTAGAACAGGGCAGGGGAGACTCATCACTCAGAGGGCAGGCCCTGTGGTCTTCAGGAGCCACCAGCCCTCCTCCCACTGTCAGTGTCTCCTGCCTGTGGTGGTATTCTGCTCTGAACACCAGAAATTGTCCTGGCTTTGGTAAGCTTGCGGTGGGGCTGGGACCAGAATTGGAGACAAAGCATCTTACGTCGTGCAAGGGGTAGCTGAGCTGTCCTGACAGGAGACAGGGACTCTCATGCCACCAGGCCTGTAACATCAGCAGGGAGGATGAGCATCTTTTG